AGAGAGAGAGAGAGAGAGAGAGAGAGAGAGAGAGAGAGAGAGAGAGAGAGAGAGAGAGAGAGAGAGAGTTTTCCATCGAATTGAGGGCACGGCAGAAAGTTGCGCTGTTACTCCACTGTATGACAAATTTCCGATATGCCGTCCTCCCAGGGCCAGGGGAACAGTGGCGACTGCCACCAATGGGCAAAGGGTGATACTCGAAAGATGCGAAGTACCGATAGGGGTACATGGAATTGTTTTGGCCTTGTACTCAACGGCTATCCGGTAGGGGTGTACTAGAAATTTTGAACCGGTATCGGTAAGGGCATTTTGAACATATTCCAGACCCAAACAACGACGTTTTTTTTTTTGAAACTCGAATCATTGCAGAGGGTCTGGATTCGGCAAGAGGCCGTCTGAGGGGCATGCTGCAAATAAATGGATTTCGGAGGCGAATTTCAAAAATTTGGGTCAGATTCTGGACATATGACAGTTACCTTCGACACCCAGCCATGTGGTTTGTTAGACAGTCGATAGAGCCCCCCCGAGACTCCCTCCCAACCTTGCACTCTCATAATTTCTCCCCCGCCCACCCCTACTTCTACAATCCTCCCTCAGTGTCTACCACTCAGGACTATCACCCAGTCAGGGGCGACCTTGACTGGATGACAGTTGCAGGTACCAGGGCTAGTAAGCAGAGTCCCGCTTACCCTTCTCAGCCCTAGTCGAAGCATAGTCGTACGAGCCCCCGTCGCATGGGTACTTCAGGCGCTAGGTATGGACGTTCTCGACAAGTCTCATATGTCAACCTATTTCTTGTTCCTACCCTTGTGTACACAGTTATTTATTCCTGCTGGTCTTGTTGTTTACGTGTTCACTATGCACACTGTTTTATTACTACTTGTTCTGTTGTTGCTGTAATCCTTGTTGGTGGTGAGCTATTTTTCTTAACGCAGGAGGCAGATTATCTCCCCTTATCGGTGCCTAAGGGAGCCCTCAGCACAAGATCCCTCCTAAGGCCCTTATCTCAGTCTACATACTAGGCCTCCCAAGCGTTCCTGTTCTTCAAACCTATGGGCAGGCTGTCTGTCAGTTTATCTCCTAGAGGACCTTGTCTCAGGACTCTCCTATCTAACCCCTCCCATGCCAGCTGTAGATCCTGTCCTGATCCCCCGCAAACAATGGGATCCCTCGCAACCTATCCCACGTCACAGCCCTACCCACACCTAAGCAGAGCCCTAAGGTTTTTGACTCCTGCCTGCATCCACTACCTGATTGAATTCAAACACGCAACGTCAACTGTGCAGCCCTCACATCAAACCCACTGAGCTACTGTGGAAACTAGTCTATTTTGAGCGCTATACTGGACCAGAAGGCAAGTGAACAATCATCTGAACAACCCACAGACCAACAACCTTGGGGAAAACCATCCTAGCCCGGACCCAACATACAACAACCATGGACTAGGACCCTTGGGTGGTGCGCAAGCAGCGTCTGTAATAGCTTCAAGTTACCTGTGTCAGCCCAGGCGGGGTTGCAGATCGGTATACGTTATGTACATGTCTGCGGGTGTCCATGCGCATGGATGCGAGTTTTGAACCCACAACCTCAAACCACAATGCGCATTTCCAACCTGTGCTCTAACCACTGGGCCACACGCCTATGGTTCAGAAAAAAAAAAAAAGGGAAAAGAAAAATCATCTTTTCAGCTCCTCAAAAGCAGCAGTCATAGAGCCCCTATGGCCCTACCAATTGGGCTTTCTGAGGATAATGGGGTACCTGTTGGGCTTTCTGAGGATAATGGGGTACCTGAGGCAGGGGGGCACCTGTTGGGTTTTCTGAGGACAGGGGGGCACCTGTTGGGTTTTCTGAGGATAATGGGGTACCTGTTCGGTTTCCTGAGGACAGGGGGGCACCTGTTGGGTTTTCTGAGGATAATGGGGTACCTGTTGGGCTTTCTGAGGATAGTGGGGTACCTGTTGGGTTTTCTGAGGATCTCAGGCCTTACTAGGATTCTGAAGCATAGAAGGTTCATTGGCCTATAGGTCCCCAAGCAGGACCCTGCACGGCGCAGTGTTTTTGGCCGTGCGAATTTGGTCCGGGACCCAGTCGTAGGCCCAACTTTGGAGCCCTGCTAAGCTTAGCCTCTTCGGTGGACCAGGTATGAATCTGACGGAGGAATGGGTCTGTAGGAAGTCTAGAAATCTCTTTAGGCAGTTCCTCTTCCTATAAGACGTCTTACGGCGACTCGTTTTTCATCTTCATCGTGTGTAGACCCCTGACGATTCCGGCTCTGGCGATCGGATGAATCATGTAGGGTCAACCGCCAGCAGCTCGGACAGGATATTGACGACTATGAGCACGATGCTCACTTTTGGTTCGAGCCACTTGGGCTGAGCTTCGTTGAATATATTTTGATGCCCTCGCGTTCGGGTGCCGTGTCGTCGTCTGACTGTGTCCTATTCAACTCTCGTCTGTTCCCTTCTTCCTCTGTTGATTTCTCTTCTCCCCGGAAGGGTTGATGATATGCTATGTTGTTCAGCTGTACGTTGCATGTTTCATTGATTGCATTGGTTAATACTTACCAATCTTTCCACTATGTAAACTCCGTAGAGATTAGACTACGTGAGTGTGGCTGGTAGACTCTGAGGCTAGCTTCATTCTGGTTTGAGCATTATGGCAGGTCAGTTCCCTCCTCGATCTTGTTATAATTGTGGTTCTCGTAGTCACTGTCAACGAGAATGTCCTCATCAGGGGTTTGGTAGAGGTTATGCAACGGGTGCTAACGCTACTCCAGTACTTACCTTACCTGCCCCCGCTTCGAGTACGTCTATTAATGTAGGTTACGCTGTTCCTAGTAACTCCTGCTGAGTTTCCCTCCGCCTCCTCTTCTTATGGTAGACCGAACTTTTGGCGCGTCAACCAAGAGAAGCTGGTCAGATATCTCGCGAAGACTGTGGTTGATGAACAGAAAGAAGCCAAACTGAAAGTAGAAGAAGACAGGATCAAGAGATTAAAGGAGGAAGAAGAAAGGAAGGAGGAATGGAAGAAAGAGCGTGAACGATTGGAAGCGGAGATGACCGCATGACTCGATAAGCGTATGGAGGAGAAGAACTGTCTTAAGCCCAAGGAGAAGTCTGACGACGAGAGTGCTCTCAAGGATGAGATGGAGAAGATCCGGACAACTTAGGAGACTGTTAACGAAGGGAGACGAAGAAAGTGGCGATGACAATGTTTCGAAGCTGCAGAGGGACATTGCAGATTTGAGACGACAAGTTTTGGCGAAGAAGATTGCAGAGGATGATATTTTTGCGATGAAGCGAAATCGAACAACTGAGAATTTCTGCGTTCGCTAAGGGTAGTTTCGAAGTGGAAGTAGATAGCCTGCGGTCGGAAGTTAGTCAATTGAAGTTACAAGGAGTCAAAGATCGGGAACAAGCGGATTTGTGAAAGGGAGAAGCGCTGCGACCTGGCAACAAAAGAGGGAGCGTCGCGATTGGTGCCCCTGATGTCCCCAATCATGGTTCTCCAAGGCCACGATGGACTGACAACCTACGAGAGCTCAGGCCGACAAGTGGAAGACGCCTCAAGAAGGAGTATGCCAAGATGAAGGAAATGCATCGGGCTGCTAGCATCGAGGCTGAGGTTCTAAAAGGGAAACGGGTGGTTGCCGAAAGGGAGGTGGTAAAATTGAAAGAGCAGTTGAACACGGCCCCTATCGATGACTCTGTATTGAAAGAGCAGTTGAACAAGGCCTCTATCGATGACTCTGTGCAGGGTGGGGGTACGAACCTCAAGACCAGGCTGGAGGCGGTTGCCAACTGATCTGCGAGAAAAGGACTAAAGGAACTCTGAGGCGCGATATCAGCGATGGTGCTGGATGTTCTGGTGGAACCAATGATCGCTTCCTGTTCATCGAGGCGCTAACGAAAGGCTTAAGGAATTACAAAAAGTTGGGCTTGGAAATGCTGTGTCGAGAAGCTGGGTTGAAACTACGTGCGATTGACCTCATGGTTGGGGACATTGCGAAATTATATCGGATAGATAAAGTGTTCGGCAAGGATGGAGATGCGGTTACGGAGAAGGATAAGGAACCTCCTGTCCATGAAGTCGCTGAGGATTCTCCTTCTCATGAAGTGACTTCCGTGTCGGAAGACGGAAGATCTGTTGAGCTTTAGGTGAGGTTCCTGAACACGACTATCTATGGAGATGGGCACGTTATTGTAGGAAGTTGCGAGAGAACAGTTCTCTAGAATTCCCTGCCGACAAGAGGAGTGGGTGTGTTGATGGATTTGTTAGTGGTAAGTGCTCGGATCACTTTCTACGCGACAATGAATTCAATGCTTGCTTTCGCTTGCATGCTGAGACTAATTGTTGCGAATTGTGTTCCGCGGGCTGTTATGTAGAGAAGGTGCTTCGTGATGATGTGGAGTTAGAGACCGGTGAAGGTCCCTGGGTTTATGTGTTGATATCCCCCTGGTCTAAAAAACGTGTATCTGGGGGCTACAGGTAGATTACTGAATGTGAGATGGAACGAACATGTGTATAGATGCTCTAATCTTGGTGTGATTGATGAAGGGAGGAAAAACCATCGACTGTACGCCTGGTTGAGAAGGTGTGGGGTGACCCAGTTTGTTATGATACCTATTTGTAAATGTGAACCGCAAGATCTGTTCACGGTTGAGAAGAGTTTTATTCGATTGATCAACCCTAGTCTGAACTGTCGAGCTGTGCGACGCAAAGGGAAGCGGAGGAGGAAGGGTAAGAGAGAACGATGTCGAGAAAAGTTGAGAAATGGGGGTTGTTTAACTAAATTAAATTTTGTTATTGCACCGCATGTCACCTTTCGCTCAACGAAGGGTCACTCTTCAGTTTCTCTGATTCAGATTTTGGATGAATGTCTGAGTAAGGGTATCTCCTCTATTGAAATTCTTTGTGAGAATGGGGCCAGATTGACCGATGATTGGAAGTTGGTCAAACGGAGATTCGGTACGTCAAATGTTTGTTCGGAGGGTGTGAGTGGGATCCTGAAGAACTGCAGGGTTTTTTTCAAGGATGATAAATTTGATTTATCTGAAGCCTGTCCTTGCTCAACTTTTGGCAGAGCCGGCAGAACAAAAAGATCTAAATAGATGGCTTTTTGGTGATTTGGTTCGCTCCTTTTTGGTGATTCGTGCTTTTTCGGGGAAGAGGATACGTTGTTCCCTTCAATTAATTATTTCTGGCGCACTGAGTAGAAGATTCCATGTTAATGTCAGGAAGAGGCTTATTATTCGAGCGACTTACGAACATCCGTTGAGTAAACCAGGGATTAGGAACTTTTGCAAAAGGTTGATTAAACGATCGGATGCTGATGCAGATTGAAAGGACTTGGTGGTTCGACGAACTCGTGTTGTTTGGGTTAAAAACAACAGCATTGTGCACATTCTGTTTAATTTTAGGAAGTTTTCACAGGAAAGCAATCTCGCCTGCACCTGTCAGGCACACGATGATGATTGGACACAATCCGAGGGTCATATTTGTTGTCGGCTGAGTAATGAGGAGTTTATCCCGACTTGGCTGAAGAATAATCGAAACATCTCCGTTTCGGGTACGCACAATTTGGGCAAGCAATTAAAGCATGAGATTGATGATAGTTTGCTGGATGTGGGTTTTGAAGTTCCATTTTTACGAACGATCAATATGTCCGGTTGTTTCAACTCTGTAGGCAAGAACAGTGAGCCGGACACGTATATTCGACAGGAGGATGTGGTTGATTGAAGGAAGAAAATGAAGGGGTTGGTTTGTGTTCCTATTGACCACAACCCCGGGGACACCATGGCTTGTTGTCCTCTGATCTATAGGGACGGTCTGAACAAACTGTTCTTGAAAAATGACGGTTTTGAGACGATGAAGGAGGATGAGGACTCTGTGCTATGAAGGATGGAGACCGGGTACAAGATGAAGAAACTGTCGGCCTTTGCGAAGTGGGACAAAGGAGGGAAGCTGGGACGGGCTTACACAATTCCGAAGCACAAAGATATTTCAAAATGGCGTCCCATCTGCCCTTCCTTTTCGGAAGGTAATGTCCGGGGTTCCATAATAGTATCGAGGGTTCTGAATGAGATGTTGTGGCAACTCCCCAAGAAATCACATTTTAACATGCGAAGCACTGACCTCCTTCTGCAACAGACGCAACTGGTGAACAAAGATGTGAGAAATGGTGGCGAATTGTTGATTGCTGCTTACGATGTGAAATAGATGTTTTGCAACCTCCCACATTGTTCGATTAGACTATCCCTTGAGTGGTTGATTGATTTTTGGATTAAGTCAGGTGTTGAAAAAGCCATGATCAGGAAACATGGGAAAGATGTGAAACTTACCCAGGGTAGCAAACAGGAGGATTGGCGCTGGATCGATTTTCACCACCTTCTTGACTTTGTCATGTTTGACCTGGACAACACCTTTACTATGGTAGGTGGGAAGATCTTGCGACAAAATATTGGAATTCCGATGGGGAAGCCATCGAGCCCTGCGATTGCTTGCATGTTGTGCGTCCATTCCGAATTTACGTTTTACTCTCTCTAGGGGCCGACCGGGCTCTTGTACATGAAATTCGTCTTATTGATGATGTGACAATCTTCATCAAATTTCGGAAAGGTGACAAGGAAGGTGAAGTGAAGGCATGGAAGATATTGGGTAAATTTGAGATTTCCTACGATAGGAACCTCACCTTGGAATGCACTAATCGATCTGGTCCCTGGGAGTTCCTGGGATGTGTTTTGGATGATTTTGGACCATCCCTTGGTGTGCGATGCGGTGTCTTATTCTAGCCGAGAGCAAAAGATGGCGGTGATCACTTCTTTCATGCACCGTGCTAAGCGATTTACCGAATCACCGATATGCAGGAGGCGGAAGGAGTTTTTTTCTTTTCGCTAAAGATTGAATTCAGAATTACTGATGATTACTTTGATACTGTGTTGAGGTGTTTCTCCATGAAGTTTGGAGGATTCTGGGATCATTGGGTAAGGATGTCGACTGATTGGGATCGGTTTCCCAAGCACGCGATGAGATATGTTAACTTGCATTGTGATGAGTGCGTGGATAGGGGGGCACCTGTTGGGTTTCCTGAGGACAGGGGGCCACCTGTTAGGTTTTCTGAGGATAATGGGGTACCTGTTGGGCTTTCTGAGGATAGTGGGGTACCTGCTGGGTTTTCTGAGGATCTCAGGCCTTACTAGGAAGCATAGAAGGTTCGTTGGCCTATAGGTCCCCAAGCAGGACCCTGCACGGCGCAGTGTTTTTGGCCTTGCGAATTTGGTCCGGGACCCAGTAGTAGGCCCAACGTTGGAGCCCTGCTAAGCTTAGCCTCTTCAGTGGTATGAATCTGACGGAGGAATGGGTCTTTAGGAAGTCTAGAAATCTCTTTAGGCAGTTCCTCTTCCTATAAGACGTCTTACGGCGACTCGTTTTTCATCTCCCTTGTGTGTAGACCACTGACGATTCCGGCTCTGGCGGTCAGATGAAACATGTAGGGTCAACTGCCAGGCTCCAGCAGCTCGGACAGGATATTGACGACGATAAGCACGATGCTCACTTTCGCTTCGAGCCACTTGGGCTGAGCTTCGTTGAATATACTTAGATGCCCTCGCGTTCGGGATAATTCCTGTGTCGTGTCGTCGTCTGACTGTGTCCTCTTCAACTCTCGTCTGTTCTCTTCTTCCTCTGTTGATTTCTCTTCTCCCCGAGAGGGTTGATGATATGCTATGTTGTTCAGCTGTACGTTGCATGTTTGATTGCATTGGCTAATACTTACCTACCAATTATTATTGTTATTATTTATAATTATTATTATTTTTTCCCTTCTGGACAAAAGCTCTTGACTTCCTCAAATTTCAGACAAAAACTGTACGAAAGTAATGTTTCCATTTTTTTTTTTTTAAACAGAAATCGATAATGTTTCCGGTCCAACCTCAGGCGGTGATCTTTTGGAACATTTGGAAGAACAGAAATGATGAAGTCATTGCGGGTGTGTTGCACTCGCCGTGTGAACTCAGGCACAGTATCCGGCACGAGCAGTGGACTGTCGTTGCTAATGATTGGCAGCACAAAGTGAGGCCTGCTTCATCTTTTTCTGCAGGGGTCAGAATGTTCCAACCCTCTATTGGTAAGGGCCTCGCCACACCACTGTCAAAACAAAAAAAGCACTAGTCTAAGAGCATCTTCCCCAAACAAAAAAAGCACTAGTCTAAGAGCATCTTCCCCAAAAAGCGGCCACATGCATCTGTTGCTATTCCTAGGAAGGGATGCATCTTGCCACTTTCTGTGGGATCATGCATTCGAACGTTTTTCGTTTTTCGACAGCCGTGTGGCCAGGTGCTAAATATTGATGTGCTTTGACTGGAACCTTTTGACCCCAGCAGAAAAAGGCGAAGCAGGCCTCACTTTGTGCTGCCAATCATTAGCAACGACAGTCCACTGCTCGTGCTGGATACTGTGCCTGACCGCCTGAGGGCATACTCACACTAGGCCCTCAAAATCTCAAATTTGCAAAGTGAGCGGCCAGATAGATCCCTCCGCTAACAAGCACTCGATCAAGGCGTTCATTTTGCGATTTTGCGATTTTGAGGGCCTAGTGTGAGTCATTTCATAGACATACTAGGCATTGTTCTGTGACAGTGCCTAACAAAATTGCATCACTAGGGGACAGCTCCTTACCGATCTCCGCCATCCCTCTTTGCAGTGGCATAGGCCCACGGCGGCCCCACGGAACTCGATAATGATCGCAGTACTGCATTGGTGTCATTCTGGGTTGTTTGTGATGAATTTTCGTGGCCAAGCCCTCACATGAGTGACACACTATTGCCATTGGATCTAACAGATACCGGGGGTTTTGTTTAGAATCCTGGTACAGTGCCACATGAGTGACACACTATTGGCATTGGATCTAACAGATACTATTTCCAGTCATAGGAACTTAGGAGAATTGAATAAATGTGAAAGAGAATTTGGAAAAAAAAAACAAAAAGAAAAGAGAGAAAACTAGGGTGCGGTCATGGTTCGAGTTTCAAAATGCATTTCGAACACTGTTTCTGGAGTCGAGTCCCCTCGGAGCTTTACAATGCAGTCGAAACTCTGCTTTGCAGAAAGGTCGCACCGCGGAGTTTGTAACTGCAGTCCAGTCAGCCCCGTGGCCGCTTTTTTTCTTTTTTCCCAGAAGTAGCCAGTTATCTCGTGCCCTGGCTGGGCCACAGCCGAGACGCCGTCGCCATGCCCATTAAAAACACAAAAAAAGAAGAGCATCTCGTCGTGTGGCTGGGCCACGGCCGAGATGCCTCGGCCAAGCCCGAGATATTTAAAAAAAAAAAAAAAAAAAGAGCATCTCTTTTTCTTTTTTTTTCTTTTTTTTGCAAAATCCTTGCTTTATTATCAGGTCAAATCGAGGCCTCACAATTCAACCCGGAGTTATCCTGGCAGCATCTCTTCATGTGGCTGGGCAACCGTCATGCCCCCCATTAAAAAAAAAAAAACAGCCACGTGCCTGACTGAACTGCAGTTACAAACTCCGTGGTGTGACTTTTCTGCAAAGCGGTTCATTGTAAACTTCGGAAACTTCGGACCGCAGGGGGGCGCGGTCCCACTAGCAAAGAGGATTGGATTGAACGCCTGAATCTGGACGGGTTTGTGCAAAGGTGCAGAAAATTGAGATTGAACTGCTTTTCCGCGTCTCTGCTGAAAACAAGCCCAGATTCAGGAGCTTTATCCGGTCCTCTTCGCTAGTGGGACCTCGCCCCTGGACTCCAAAAAGGCAGTTTGAAAAAAAAAAAAACAAAAAAAAAAAATAGGCAGTTTGAACATGGGTTATTTATGGGTTCCTTGAGTCTCGATTCGCCAATGTCATCATTTTGTCTGGATTCAAACATGGGTTGTTTATGGGTTCTTTGAGTCTGTATTCCACTCCAACAGTTCATGGGTGTGCACCAACTGAGCCAGGCGCGTCGGTTCGTGCCTACTTTTCCGCAGGACATACATACATACACATACCTTGGGTGCCTGTGGCGTCATCCAGAAGTCGATCGCAGTGCGGAACGCAACGACGGCATCTCGCGTGACGTAATCGGGGTCGTTCAGAAGGTCAAGATTAAGATGATTTCCCACCAACCCGTAGTTGTAGTTGTAAGATAACTGTATTGGACCGCGGCCGTGGTAAGTCTTGCCAGGGGCACAAGGATATTCCGTGCTCGCCACACAATATTTACATGCGTCGGACCCTGCCGCGGTGCCACCTGGAGCGCAGGCCACCTCTTCCTTGAAGTATAGACCCCTGTCATTCAAATCAGACAACCACAAAGACGCCACACCCCCAACAAACCACAACGCACTTGGGTAAATGTCGTGGGACCACCGCGCGGGCA